TACTATTTTATCAGTTCATTGTTTATCCACGAATGCAAAGTTCTGAAAGATATGGTGGAAGCAGTCATAGGGTGTCATCAATGCCATAAAAAAAGAAGGAAATTGGAGGAACATAATTCTGAATATATCTTTCTTCSAAGATATTCTGAATGCGCTGTATCGAAATCTTTGCTGCTWSATGTTTCTTGCTTTCAACAAGTCAACCGCTTCTGAATAAGTTTAGGGAAATTCACGATCGATATGGCTGTGGACTTATTTCGATGCACTTCYCATATTCCTTCTTTTATCTTATCGATATAGTACGTTCGACAAAATGTCGCGCCACGGTGATGTAAGTCCTAGGGCTCGATGCTAGTGTCCCGATGGTGTTTCTACGAACAAGTTTTCTCAAGAAGAGCAGTGTCGAGAATGCATCGAAGCTAATGCGAAATGTCACGTTTCTGTTCCATCTGATTTCATTTTTTGTCTCCAACCATTAAGATCTCAAGTTCGCMGGACACAGTGGGATGCTGTGTCTTTCAATATCCCATGCCGCGGTTGCATACCAACGAAGAGGTCATTGCCAATGCTGAAAAGATTTGCGAAATTGTSAAAGGGGTAAAAAAGGGTTTGCCCGGTATGGTGAGTCAGATCAAAGAAGGTTCGGAGAAATCGTAAATTCGTTTGARAAACMAAAGGATTCGAATGATCACTTCTCACCTTAATCATTGCCATTTCAGGACTTGATTGTCTTTCCAGAATATTCTACGATGGTAAGTCTGGCTATTTCATCTGGTCGTTCACTGTTTTGACTTTTGAATCACCGTCRCCGTCTCAAAATGATGTATGTTTACTTAGGGCATTATGTACGACAGGCAGGAAATGTTTGATACGGCATGTACTATTCCTGGACCACTGACAGACATGTTTGGTGAAGCATGTAAGGAGGCGGGTTGCTGGGGCGTATTTTCGTTGACAGGCGAGCAGCATGAGGATCACCCAAACAAGAACCCTTACAATACTCTGGTTTTGATCAACGATGAGGGCGAAATCGTTCAAAAGTACCGCAAACTCTTGCCTTGGACCCCAATAGAAGGATGGACACCCGGTAATTTGGGAACAATCGTAACAGAAGGTCCAAAAGGTATGAAGGTGTCGATGATCATTTGCGACGATGGGAATTATCCAGAAATCTGGAGAGACTGTGCCATGAAAGGAGCAGAGTTGATCATCCGCCCTCAGGGGTACATGTAAGTCGTGCTGTCTGCTCTATGTTACGAATAGATCATTTTTTGATCCTATTTGCAGAGAAACCAAGAACTGAAAGCAAGAACTGATTTACGTTTTTATCTGTCTGAACGGTTAAATAGGTATCCTGCAAAGGAGCAGCAAGTGCAGGTCAGTAAGACAATGGCATGGTGCAACCAGGTTTATGTTGCAGTAGCTAATGCATCCGGATTCGATGGCGTCTACACATATTTTGTAAGTGGAAATGAGAGATATTGTTGTTCAATACTTTATCGGGAAAATAGGATGGAACTGACACGCATATCTTTAACTTTTCTCATTATTGATTCGATGCAGGGACATTCTGCTATTATCGGAATGGATGGACGAACTCTCGGCGAATGCGCCACAGAGGACAACGGAATTCAATTTGCGCAATTATCTATCTCCGGAATCCGGGATGCCCGTGCGAATGATCAATCCCAAAACCAACTCTTCAAGCTCACCCATAGGGGTTACACCGGTGTCTATGCCAATGGTGACGGAGAGAAGGGCGTCGCCGAATGTCCTTTTGATTTTTACCACACGTGGGTGAACGATCCATTGAAGGCACAGCAAATGGCAGAAAAGGTTACACGATCCACCATTGGTGTGACGTGTTGTCCTGTTGCAGGCATCCCCCCACCTCGTGAAGAGGAGGATGAAGAATTGGCTCTTGAACACGAGCTTAATCTTCAATAGACTCTTTGCGAGATAGTATGCAAAGCAAGCTCCTATTAAATTTGCTTTTTGTCTGCATTGTTTACGGTTTCAAACGAAGGATGTTTTGGTGGTTTGTGAGAATGTATTATTTTAAGTCACTTTGTCTGGACGCGCCTCCACAACCACTTCTTGGAGGGAGRCRCCGCCCCCTGGGGCAGCYAGGAGCATTYTTCTCACCCAAAGTTATGGTTCTGGCCATATAKTGCCTCTTCTAGTTCACGAAGTCAAATATAATATCAAGATTTTTTTTAAAATTTCATGTCGCTTCGTCACGTCATGTCTAGTACTGTACAGTACAMGTGCTTCTTTCCGATGCGGCATCTGGTCGGATTGAAGGAACATAAACGTTAACCCGATTTTTGCGTTAACAGAAGCACTGGTTGCCGTGGTCGTCTTCGTCTGCGTTGCGTTGTTGGTGCTAYACCCTTTTACCCACTGCAATATCCCAAGYATATTGTTAACTTCATTTAGTAAGGAAGCAATAGATTTAAGATAGTGCGATTTTCCTCAAAATGGTGTAGTTCTACTTCTACTGTTCACCATGTCTTACTTCAGTCGTTTTCTAAGCGTATTTGAATGTTTGGAATAGCATTCGGTACGTACAGCACTGTAATATTAAGATACGGTGCGAATCTCCATAAAATGCGAAGTCAACCGAATTTTTGGTAGTTCGTGTGTTGCTCTTGAGAAATGAAATCGAGAATCATGTGAGATGTGAGATGCATGAATATGTGCTCCTAAGTGTCRTACTCGGACGTACCGTGCCAAAAACCATAATTACAACATTCAGTAGTACTTTWAACCGCCGTATTATTTAGCTACTTGTGATACCTCTATCATCAATACAACGTTGTTTGATTCACTCGAGTGCACTGACRTGCAGTAGTTTTTCCAAGATTTTTCCACCTGAAAGGAGAGCTTYACACTTCTAATCAAGCGAGTAATATTATTCCATAACGATACACATACAAAATTATATTAATTCTTTTTAACAATATGAACTGACCTACAATAATAATAGCGCCAAAACAAAATCTTAACGTTCGTCATTGAAAATAATGCTTTCACGAAATTCGTTTCCGAATGGAACGGTTGACATGCACGTACCCACTACTACAACCGGACTCGAATCTAGCTCTTATCGTGTTCCTTGCTTTCGCGTTATGGCGCACCTAATAATTTGRATYCCAACGTTCGAAAAGCACAGAATTTGAARGGTAGCACGATACAATAGTAATCTCAATAAATATCAACGAAGTACTTTACGTACCGGTACAGTACAGTATTCTTAATGCAGTAATGATACCGAGAATAAACATCATTTTCTTGCCTCCCACATGCGRTAGAAATAGTACTGTAGCCTCATTTTGATAGGACGATAGACATCGCGCTGAGYCAAGTGACCAAYACGCTTACACTCCCAAAGAAAGCAATCGGTGAAAGAGAGTTTTACGAAATTCCACCATGGACATCACAGCAAGCGTAAGATCTGCTRAAGGCTCTTCGGCAAGCAATCCCATTTGTGTCGACGATTATCTCTCGGATATTGTTACAGAAGCAGAATCTGCATCTTCGAGCCATCCTATTTGCGTTGACGATTTTCTTTCAGACACGGAATCAGAAACCAAAACAGAACTTGCATCGTCGAGTCATCCTATTTGCGTCGATGATTACCTGTCAGAAACGGAATCAGAAACCAAAATAGAACTTGTCGATCTCCAAGAGTGCAATAATTCATCATCACTGCCTAGGGATGATTACTCGTACTACTCTGAGGTAACTTATGCTGAAACTGTATCTGAAAGAACTGAAGTTACAGTAACGGAAAAAGAGAGTRAAGTCCACGATGCCGAGCAGATTCTAAATGATAGAAACGATTTACCAGATAGTGGAGAYAACGAAAAGGACAAGAACGGGAGTGATGATGGTDGAAGTAACGACAGCGTTGTATCCGAAGCAGAAAATGGCGAATCCACTCACACGAGAAAACGACGTAATGTTTCTTTCGCAGGAGCAGGCAGCGAAGAACAAGAGTGGACCTACGAAGAACATATTTTGAGAAGTATGGATGAAGAGAGTCGTAGAGAGAATCGAAGAAAACAGAGATGCGAAAGGGCGAAACGTCAACGTATGAGCACGCTAATGTGGTTTGCTGTTGCCTTACTACTATTGGAGGTCGCGGCCGCAACAATTGCTATCATGAACCACAAAGAATTGATAGAGTGCTGCGGGAGGTCCATCTTCTCCGAAGACGAAAGTACCGCGGAACGATGGAATACAATTCTTTATTATATCGGTGTATGCTACCTTCTTATTATCATACTGGTCGAATTCCCTACTCTCATCATTGCGCAAGAACCACTGTTCGTATTCAATCCGATGGTCGGATATTTACTAGTGATGCAAATGATGTACGCAACCGATCCCCGAAATGCTTATATCATATTCGGTCTGGAGGTGTGCGCTATGATTGGTCAATCGACGGTTCTGGGGGCGATGCATCGAACCCCGGAAATGTGCRTTCATTCCATTTTGAACTACACACTCGCTGGTATCACAATATATTTGCTTCTCAGACTCACGGGGCAAGGTGGTTATTGCATCGTTAACGATCGGATCCAATCCATCTTTAGCGAAATGACTTGCAATGTCAGTTGCAYCGATGGGGAATCCTGCTTTCAGTGCTTGGAGGATGGAAACGAAGATATATCAATCTCAACACAGTGCTTCATCCACTTTTAAGAAAGCCTGAACGAGCCCTTGTTACAAAATAAAGCAGTTAAGTTACTTTGAATGAACATTGCCAATTAAGAATAAWWCAGCGAGGGATAGAGAAGGATGGCGTTGCTGCTTGATTGCACGGTTTCCATACGCTAGTTAGCCCTTTCGAAAGAGTCAGGAGACATATAAAAATGAAATGTTCGACCCTTTCATCTTTTTTGCCACCCTGTTCTGATWCATGTTGTTCATAACWAATCATTTTTGCGTTCATCTCCACAAATTTTTAGGTTTCGGAGCCTTTATTTTGATCTTATGCATACTTTACTGGGGTTAATCAATGGTGCGTAGTATAGTTGGACAGCAATGTTCCAGCTACCACCTGTTCATTTATCAACTCAGAATTGCTCGAAGACAAATTTAATTTGACCTCTCACTGAAAGAGTAAATAGGCTGGATGTTCGGAATTATTGTTTCTGRGCTTACATATATCCATGCGTGTAAGCATGGAAAAGAATTGATGAATTGGCTGAGATGTGGAACCGATCGCAGTAAAACCGATGATGCATTGTTAGTAATGCTGGAAATCTAAATTTCATATCAGATGAAATCACCTGACAATAAGAAAATTAGTGAATATTATATCTTTCAAGTGTATTAGAATTTGAATGATTATAATCAAGCTGGTACTCAAACCCTTAAGGCTATGTTAAAGAGCGAATACTGAACTTCTAATCACAATGTCACAGGACAGGATAATTGCAAGCTAAGTTGCAGTAGCCGGTGTTCCGTAAATGTTCGAAGCAAGGCTTTCGCCGTCACGACTCTTCCTCACGGTGAATACACCACGAAGGTATTTAGARAAKGGAGGTAAGGTCGGCGAAGGTGGAGACAGCAGACTGAGCGGCGGCAGTGCATGCAGCTTSGTTCTTCTGGGTAGCGGCAAGGGAGGTGTCTTCGATGGCCTTGTAGAATTTCTTGGCCGCGGCCTTCTGTTCCTTGGTGGTGGCAAGGTAGSTGATGGCTCCACGGGTCTCGTACATGTATCGGCGCATTTCTTCTTGGACGTTGAACCATTSCTTCTTGGCACTGTATCCTTCCAATTTGCYTAGACGCTTGGAGGTCTCAGCAAGGACGGCCTTCTTCTTGGCGACGTATTCGGWGGCACCAGSCTTGTAGAGGGAGTYCKCACCGGCCTCTCCGTAGACAGAGTAAGGAGAGTAAGTGGCGGACGACTGATCCGAACCGTAAGCGGCACCCTCAGAGTAAGAGGTTCCGTCTCCAAGAASACCGAAGACAGAGAATCGAGGGGATTCTCCGGCAGCGGCGTTGGCGGCAGCWGGGAYCAAGGCGGCTCCAGCGGCAGCAATTCCGGCGAGGGCTTCCCGACGGGAGCTGTCTTGCTGTTGTGTGATCGTTCGAACAGATGTGTTGAGGTACAGAAAAASCAGAATGGTGAGAGGCCGATAAGAAGAAGTCAAACTAGGCTATTTCGGACAGCTTTTCTTTGCAYYAACGAGGTGCGTYATCTRCAATTCGTCGAGCTGCTTCGTGCGTTTCAATCTGAACTAATTATACACCATCTGWTYCTTCCGGCAGCCTGTCCCRGAACGACGAAGGGAGTCCCGTGGTCTTGTCTTCGCACCACCAAGGCCTGCCAGTCATTACAGACGGTRYACTCAGCTCATCTCTTGTRACCAAATCCTCACCTGGGAGAAGGCAGCAGCGGAGGCGATAAGGGAGCAGAATACGGCGGTCTTCATTTTGTTTATCTGTCTAWTTAGAAAGTGAGAATACTYTTGTATTTGGTGCGTTGATGACAGGAAACAGAGAATCCTCGACTTGATTGCGTACGAGGTATGTTCAAGTACCGGTACTCGCMCTCTTAAAATCGCACTCTTAAAATAAGGGGCTTGGCAACCCTCGTTCAAAACTTCGTACGTGTCGAAGAGTTCAAGTTGGGATCTTCTCGAGGAAAAAGTACAATCTTCCAGAGAGAATATGCGCGGAAGTTTTACACGTCGAGGTTCGCGCGAGAGCTCGAGAGCAACATTAGGTAATGAGCTACGATATTTTAACTTCAACCTTAATGTATTCATCAAATCATGACTGAATGAATAAAGTGACTCAAAAGAATCATTGGATTCGCCGGCTCAATATAGATAAACGTCTACGAATATGTTTCTATGTTAAAACCTGCCAACGCGCATGCAGACTAGTATTGTCGGCTTGGCAACGCTCCCATTCGCCCCTCCTRTTAAACTCGCTGCATTCATGTACCAGGCGGTATCAATCAAACAGTCACTTCACCTATCAGAAGCGGACTTCTTCGGCTGGAGACTCTATCGTACYGTTGTTGTTATCGTCCTTGTGTCCACCTCTGATCTTTCCAGACAAATATTCTTTCATCCAGTRCGGTAGATCCAATTCACCATGATGAAAAACTGCGCCTTTATCTTCGCGGCACTTGTGTCGTCTGTTCTTGCCGCCCCGGCCATAGTATGGCACAAGAGCGAAATTGATAATGCCAACGGTCGTGTCCTTCACTCTTCTGAAGATTTGAGTGCCTCTGATTTGATGAAAAATGTCCTTTCGGAAGCCCCCGAGGCTCCCTTGTCAGCTGTTGTATTCCTTGTTGCAAAGGGTGAAGATGGTTCGGAACAATTGTCGGAGCTCGCATCCTCTGGAAAACTCCCCGAAACATTTTCGAAATACAACGATGCTAGTGGTGTGTACCATTCCGTATCGGGACTCGAAAGCCCTGGTGCCATGGTTCGAGAAACAGGTCGCTATACCGGTGACAAAAACCGAGTCCTCGAGGTATCTCTAAGTGAATTCAACAGCAAGGTGGAATCTCTTGGTGCCACAGTGGAAGTTGAAATCGATAGCAATGGAACCCCTAAGGCATCCACGAACAAGAGCATCAACAAGCGGGCACGAGCTCTTGCTCATGCCGATGTTTACGTTGTGAATGTTAGTGCTAAAGCTGACGCTTCCGAAATTGACACCTCCATCAATAGCGCCATAGAAAACAAAAACGTAGGCTCTGTTGTTCTCGCTGGAGTTCGATCGATCGAGGAAGTCAAGCACGAACGATTTTTGCTCAGCAAACGCCGCATGCTCAAGATGGAAGAAGACGGGAATAAATACATGGAGGCGAGAGGACGTCGTCGTCTCGAACAAGAAGCCGACGGTGATGCCAACGAAGATGGCGGGGATGATTTGTCGGGAGTTTACTATGTCCATATGACACCAAACATCTTCTCGGGACTTCTTTTTACTCTCATGTTCATCGTTGTTACCTTCACCGGAATCTCTTGCATGGGGGATATCCAAGGCGGAGATGTCTTTGTGGACAAATATCATTCGATCGGAAGGGAAGCTTAAATAATCCTTGCAATATAAAGAGCGAAAGGGATGGGATGGAGAGAATGACCGAATACGATCGAATCACTCCTCTGTATCTCTGTTCAAAAATTTAGTGGTTGGTACTCACTGTGTACCAACTTAATACTATCACACCTAAACAAAAATGTATTTTTCAATGACTTGACCAAAATTCACTGGGAAATCTAGTATCGAGTAGCATAGGTATGCTTCGTCGCTAGTGATTTTGGCTTAATAGTTGGATGACATAAAATACTTGTGTTGATCCTGAAGCTTCTTGCCTGCGAGGGCAAGAACATTCCAGACTGAGAAAAACTTTTCGGTTCAAAGAAAAAGGACCAATGCATGCAGTCATATGCAATCCCAACATGAGRTGAAGTAGTGGTACTACTAGCAGCCATGAAAACAAGAAACCAAAAGCACTAGTAGTRCTCAGTTTTCTTGAAGATGTTCCATGTTGAGAGTTCCTCGTGATCAGTGTCAGCAAATCCAATTGAAACAACTCTGCTACTTTGGCCAACTCCATGATGCATAACTCCWCCTTGTCCAAAACGGCATACATGTTTTGGAACATGTARAGGAAAGAAGGTGCACATTCCATGAAATCCATGGCTTTGGTGGCTTTCTTGTTGTTGTTTGTAAGCATCATTTTGGATGAACGATTGAGAAATGAATCAAACTTGTCTCTGATGGATTTCATCAGATCCTTTCCTTGCTGGAATTTCTTCACCACATAGTTGRAATGCTCTGGGGTTGCATTGTCCCTCAAAGAAATTTTGGATTGCCACAGGGAAGGCCTCATATTTGCAGACCAACATTTGGTTTGCTTTCTTTGACCATTGGTCAACAAGGCCTTTAAATTTCCAGGCAGTACAGATGAACAAAAAACATGAATGGTTCAGAAAATGTGAATCTCCCAATTGATTCTTACCAGTGGCTGCTAAGTTCAAATTGTTCTTTTTTATGGGGGAAGTGCCATTGTTGGCACCCTGAGAGACACTTGATTACTGAAATTTTGACATGGTTTTGGAGCTGTATTCAGGACAAAAAGAAGAGGTTTGTTGATCCATAAAAGGGACCACGGTGGAGGAAGACCTACCACATGGGGACCCTGCTGCAGAGCAATAGAGAGGAAATAAAGTGGGGGGAGTGATTTTCAGTGGTAATTTGTATCCACAGTGCATTGTTGATGCTTCCACACTGTAGCAACAAATTGCTGGAGTAGATATAATAGAAGCTTTCAAAATGAACCATAAACTGGTCAACTTTGAAATGGTTGTACTCCTAMCAGACTCCCAAAACTTTAAACACCCCACAATCAGATGGATCCACATTGTTCACAACCAATCGGAACCACTCCCAACTAGTTGGTTTCAAAGCGCAACCTATCAGAATTTCTGAAGTTTCAAATGTAAACAAATTAGCCTGAAAATAATTGGTTAGGCAAGTGATTGCAAAATATTTGGGTCTGTATTCTAAAAAAAGATGTTGCGACAGCATGCAACAGGGTGTGATCACTTTTTGTGATGTAGCTACTACTATCAAACAAACTCACAGTAATCAACCTAGATACTAGATACTAGTACTACTACTAGTACTACTACTACTAGTACTAGTACTACTAGTACTACTAGTACTACTACTACTACTACTACTACTACTACTACTACTAGTGCATAGTACTAGTACTAGAAGAAAAAAGGAGGACAAAAATATGATTGTCTAGAACAAGGAGGCAGACAGCAGCAGGAATGGTTTGTTACTTTACTTTAATCAAAGCAAAAAATTGCCATACTAGTAGTAATGAAAGTCAATCTAGTAGTACTACTTCTGGTGTTCTAGTGAGTACTCAATCTAATAAGAACTGGATACAAGAATACTCTCATTTATGCATTGATCATTCTTGTAGTGAAGTAGAAAAATAGTAGTAGCACTAGTAGAAGACYGAGGAGTACTACTTCAGTATCTCTATCACTCCACCATGACTGGTACTTTGAAAATGACTGAAATCATTCCAGTAGCTACTACTAGTACATTACAATATGCAGTGCTGCAGTATCATCCWTTAATTCTTCATTGACCCCCATAATGCTAATCTAGATAAGAACTAGTAACTTCACCTCACCTCTCAATTCTCTTTTTCAATTCTAGCTACATGCTTATTTCTATTCTTGTACAACTCTTCAGTTCCATTTTTGACCAACTACTAGTAGATGGAATTGACCCTTGAGCATGTGAATCTGCTGTGCCCACATACAAACTAACAGCGTTGATGACTACAAGTACTTTACTAAAAGAAGTTATTTACCAACAAATCTGACCCTAGCATGTATAGTRGTAGYASYACTRCTAGTACTACTACTAGATAGTGGATGGGATTCCTGTTTTTATTAATACAGRATTGCAATATCATATTCAATTTGAATATTTTGAGGAAGCTACYACTAGTCGTAGTAGTATTAGTACTAGYAATATACTTCTTGTACTCTGCTTTGATCCTACTAAATAAGCCTTTGAGCTGTGGTCCATTATTGTTTCTCAATCAGAAGGGGTTGTTGATYAGAACAGGAGTGGTAGGAAATTGATATTCAACTCCTCCCAATAAACACTGTTTGTAGTCATTTACAATATTAAMTTTTTGATGAATTCCAGTAGTAGAACTGCTASTACTACCAGTAGTACTACATACAGCATATGACTGAATTATTGTAAGCTACTACTACTACTACTTCCACTACTACTAGTAGTACTATTAATAGGAGAAATAGTCATCAACGAAAATATTGGAAAGAAGTAGCAATTTAATGTATCTAATGTATATATATTGCAATCTTTAGTAGCTAGAGTTATTACTTCTACTAGCTAGTGGAAATAAATTAAAAAGAACAAGCTTCTGTTGTCTGTTAATCAATTTTGGACAGCTACAACTACTTCTTGTTGCTTTGAATTTCTGAAGTGCTTTTTTGTAGTGGTAAACTTTAGAGGATTAAACCATACATCTTGGGTAATGAAATTGCTACTACTTGTTACCTTCTTGTAATTTATCCCTTTTCATACATCGCTTTATTCTTGTTTCTATTTCTTGTAGTATATTCTAGTACATGCAACTACTACCCATTAATGTAGTAGGCAATTTGACATTTAGTAACTGATGATCTTTAAGTGGACTTAATTAATAAATCCTATTAATGATTGCAATAAATTCATGTGTCATATCTTTTACTAGTATGGATCACARATATTTCTTTGCTGTGCTGTGTATTTTTATTTCTTGAGGTTCTTCTTGTTGATGATCTTTTCAACACCAGACAAGGTGACTTCTTTTGCTTATTGCCACCCCTACCAATTTAGGCGTCAATAATGCAATGGTTACCGCTTCAGGGATATTCAGGTGATTATCAATATCATCAATCGCAGAAGCTTGCTTCAGTGGATCTATGTGATCAAATAAAATCTAATATTTTATGTCTAAAACACTCAACTTTATGTGTATTCATTTCGAAACACATCAAACTATGTATCTATAGCTAAGTTTTTCATTATTCATGCTTTTACTATCCCATTYTTTCTAGTTATTAGCTTGAAGTGACTACGTTTGTCATGCCATTCTCTATTCTATTGATCTGTTCGAGGATTTTGCTGTCTCAAGGCTCTAGCAAGTGCCTTTGCTTCTTCCGAAAAAGCAACGGGTCGTCCCTCTTGCATACTGCGTTCTTGAATAATTGACCGCTGTAGCGCAAAGAGCCACAACATATCCACAAACCTTTCATCTTTTTYATCCTCGGATTTTTCTGTGAGACAGGATTGCTCCGGATTTTTGCTGCCGATGAYTTCATGATCCATTTCGTTTTTGTCTTTATGCCTCCTTCTATATTCTAGTGCCGTAGATACTTCACGAGCAGCAAAGTAAATAGCCTCGATGGTTGATAGCATGCCATCTCCACGGTTATGCCACCTCCAGAARTTGCTTTTCTGAGGAGGGAATTCCAGGTGCACAAATGGTAAGTTTTTCAACGGTGACAGTGGGTTATATGTTTYCCCCCCTCCRCTTTCGCCGGGTCGCGATACGGTTATTTTATGATGATCAGCACTAAACAATTGTACGTTATAAGATCGGGTCCACTTGATATCGAGAACTACCAATCGTTTCACTTTATCGGCCACGCTCGAAATTGGAACCGATTTTCCTTCTTGTGGAAATAAGACGTAGGTACCTTCGTTTTCCACTGCTTCAGAGCGCGAGGCTTCATCACAGCCATCAGTTTGCTTTTTGGAGACCTTGGCATGAGGATACTGAGGCAATTTATCTCCCCGATTCAAGTCATACAGCGTGACATTTCTCCACCACTCATTTCCATTATTATCTGTGTCAGCAAAGCCGTTGTTCTTGAAACCGTGAGAACTCGATGATGTAGTTGTTTCAATTTTGCTTTCTGTTGCTTCGAATTCTTTCAGTTGTTGCGGTAATCGTTGATCCTCCATTTCCGKGGGCGCCGTTGATCCTGTCGATTCGGAAATCATTTTGGAAATGCATATCATTTGTATCCCCGTGGACGATGTTCGTCTTTCCTTCACACCCAACACAATGTCCATTGATCGGAAAGGAAATACTGATGATTGCARTTGCYGGCGTCGTCCATGACTATGCTGTTGGSAGATAAAGCGYTTCGGCCAAAAWTTTTTTGGAATCAAAACCGAGCAGCACTCGGGACARTACAACGATCGGGATGTGTTACAGCAATATACGCGTTTTYCAATAAAATCGTCGTTGTCGTCTCTCTTRTTCTGTCCCGCGTCGCCAGCAAGCGMGTTCGAATCGTTATCGTTACYATCATCTCTTTTGGTGCCRAAAGCTGTYGCTCTTTCAAGATATGACTCTAAATAAAGCTCTTCGTCTTCAAGATTGTAGTCAGAGTTTGACATTATCTTCACTAGCCTGATAATCGTGTCGGCAGCARCAAAGCATCGGAAAAATTCTAGGTAACTGGTCGAAGTAAACGTACTGTTCTATGCAACGCGCTGTGTCGGGCGCTACAAGTGATGGCGCTGATCGATCGCTAGTCAATTCGTTAAACCCAGATGAGATCCATTAACAGTCAGTAAATTTCAAATCTGTCGTTGATCTATCCTTTATTGTGCGTGCCGACRAATGCACCTGATAACTGGGAATTGGTTTCTTGACAGAACTTCCTTTGCTAGTAAGAGCGTACGTACTTCCCGGTACAGACCGTTACGTACGTTAAAGATTAAAGATACTACGTTACGTAGTACCTACCTGGTACCTACTTACTCGAAGTACAGTACAGTAATAATGCTGCATGCGCCGAGTGAAATATTACTTCTCTACTAAGTATGATAGCTGATTGCTGTTTGTGGTTTTCAGGGGTACCGTAGGTAATTTCATGTAAACCGTCGATGACAGACCCTGATTGAAAGAACGTGAGGAAACGATTCTGATGTAAAATTAATTATCAAAAACAAACAAAGAATACTTTGTACTTAAATAAGGACGTTCTTTATCAATATCATTATGACGTTTATATGTTGTTTTCTCGTACAACCGTACAATTCTACATACTTAGTAAATGGTCGCTAATRTTGGATGCACGCTTTTGATTCGCTCGTAGTTGGTTCAATGAAGAAAGCATTCGTTACGTCTTGTGCAACAGGAACAGCTCAGCGGACCAGGAGGCCCTTCCGCACGATCGATTTCCATCGGTTTTTTGTGATTGAATTTGCTGAACCTCCCTGCCGATCCCGACATAAAACGGATAAGTGCAACAAGGAAGTACGGCAGTAGTTCATCCATCACTCTTATTTCTTTGATGCACATCGTCGAAATCCTTTTTGAATAGTTACGATACATTGTTCTACCACGACAAATTCATACGAATATTGCTGTCTAAATCACAACGTGGTCGTTGCCTGAGCGCATGATGATGATATCTCGCCGATTTTTGCTTTTGGCACTTGTWTGTTTGACGACAAGCACGCACGGATTCATTCCCACCAGGAAGAAGAGTACGGAGCGCCGTGCAGCCTTTTCGAAGCAAARCAACGACAATGTTGATCAAGATGAGGCCGTAGAAAATGTTCCACAAACAWCTCAGTATGAGCCCGGAGCCTCACCCACCGCCATGATGGCGATTCCACCTAACGCTATGGCGTACGCTGCATCTCTTTACGAATACGAAGAAGAGGAAGAACAGGATGTTTCCAATGAAATAGCTCTTATTTCCTGCATCATCTCCCTCGCSATYGGTTTCGGAACSGGATACCTTGTATAAAAGGCCTCCCTCTACAAGAATCCACMAACTAATGTCAACGTGATTTTATACGCTAAATACGATCCGTGACCCACCCAATTCTATCACTGCGTGTTGATGCATCTGGAGGAACGTTCATCAACACCAAATCTAAGGACAATACGCAAACTTTCTCAGGATAACGTAGAGCATTCACTTGCTCTGCTTCTCTTCGATTTCATCCGAACACAAATATTTAGACCTAACCGAGTCGAAACGGCTCGACGCGACCGATGATCGAAGAGCTGGGACCTAAGCAGCAGAGATTCGAAATTGCTAAATCAGATCTACTGCAACAAATAATGCACTAAACTAAACACGAGCGCTTTGTCAACTCTATTAATTCTAATTAAATCTCATGCCTAGTTGTTTTCCGACTTGTCTGATTCTTTGCTAAACTACGATACTGTACTAAGTAACACTAGCATGCTCGCCCGACGAGCACAACGGTGATTTCATACCGGGAACCAGACGAGTCCACCGATGGATTGATAGTTCCGTAGGAAGATGATAATTATCGTTCTATTGTCCGATGTTGGACACGGTTAAGTTCAACTACACAAAACCAGTCGTATTTTGTTTCGATGAAGTACGGTTGAAGGGCAGACAATATTTGGCTCAGAACCCTAAAATTCATTGGTTTCGTTCCCTTAGTACTAATTTCTACGTCGATCTTTCAGATGCCTAGATTCAACTTGCGTCAGCCTCACCGTTCTYATCTGCTCCTTTTTTCCCGTAGCTTTCCCGTGCTTTTGTTCAACATGCAAAAAGGCGCAGCGCATGGAGCTCTTTCTCTTTTCTACTCGAAGTTTTAGGGATGACGACACGCRTTTTCTTCCTCTACTATCAAAGTGCGTTCAAGGGAAGCTATCAACTACATCAACTACGCAACGAAAGCCGCAGAAGCCTTCTTACCATCGTTACAGCACACAATCACATCACAATTTTTAMTGCTCAATCTAAAAACAACCAAGATGAAGTTCGTTGCTGCCGCCACCCTTGCCCTTGCCTCTTCGGCTTCGGCCTTTGCCCCTGCTTCTACTGCCAGCGTAAGTACTCTGGTAGTATTCAGATTCTTAGAAATGGAGTCGATTGCCGATGGAGAATTGTGTCGGAATTGCTCCCTCACGACAAGGAAGATCACGGTCGATATCGAACCACTGCGTATGAACTACCTTTTGTGCCTTGTTMGGTTTTTGCGAATTGATTGGAATAGGTARTGAGCGCCATCCATAGATTGAATGAAATTGGCTCATAGTTTGTTCTTCTTTYGCTGGCTTTCTTTCAACGCGCCTCCCGTCTCGATCCTCGGGATTCGCTTCACGTCACGAACTACGTYACGTATATATCAATATGAAACAACGCTCTGCAGAGTAACACCGCCCTTAAGATGTCTCTCAAGGACGATCTTATGACTGCCGGAAAGGCCGCCGTTGCCGGAGCCGTTGTTTTCGGAGCCATGGCTTCCCCTGCCCAAGCTTTGACCAAGGCCGAGACCAACTCTCTTACCTACCTTCAGGTCAAGGGAACCGGTCTTGCCAACAGATGCCCTGAAGTTATTGGAGAGGACAGCATCAAGCCTACTTCCGGCCAAAAGCTCGTTGAGATGTGCATCGAACCCAAGGCCTGGGCCGTTGAGGAAGAAATCGGAARGGGAGGAAAGACCGAAAAGAAATTCGTCAACTCTAAGGTCATGACCCGACAGACCTACACCCTTGACGGAATTGAGGGTGTCCTTGAACAATCCGGAGGAAGCATYGTCTTCAAGGAGAAGGAAGGTATTGATTACGCCGCCACCACTGTCCAGCTTCCTGGAGGTGAACGTGTTCCTTTCCTTTTCACCGTAAAGGACCTTGTCGCCAAGGGATCCAGCGACACCTTCAAGCCTGGTTTCCAAATGGGAGGAGACTTCTCTGTTCCTTCTTACCGTACCGGTCTTTTCCTTGACCCTAAGGGACGTGGAGGTACCACCGGATACGATATGGCTGTCGCCCTTCCCGGTCTTCAATCCGGAGAGGAAGGAGATGATGAGCTCTTCCGTGAGAACAACAAGACTTTCGATGTYACCACCGGACGTATCGAGATGGAAGTCAACAAGGTCAACAAGGAGGACCAAGAAATTGGCGGAGTTTTCGTYGCCACTCAGCTCGGAGATACCGATATGGGATCCAAGATCCCWAAGAAGGTCCTCACCAAGGGAATCTTCTACGCCCGTGTCGATTAAATCATTTTGTTGGATCTAATTTGATTCACATCTAACAGTACAACACTGTGTTGTACTGAAACAGATTAAGGAACAAAGCAAGCTAGTGCAGCGAGAATGTTGTTCGTCCTACTTCTGCCTATATCAAAATCCATCGAACCGTTGGATCCTCATGCCAACAACCTTTTTGCTATGACCCTGACACGATTATAGAGAAGTACTAAATATTGTATCTATAATAATGACATCAGTTGAGTCTCCAAAACATCATAAGCAAGTAGTAGATTTCATWGTCACATCAAGTATTATTCCAAGGTATCGGATTTACTAATACAACGATGCTATGGTCAGCGGACGAGGACGAACAAACTTTTGAATGGAGATGAGATTCACCGTCCAATGACTCCGTTAGCCTTAACTGCATACGTACTTTCTCTTCCGCAGCAAGAATTCAAACATCATCACTGGTATTCTTGGTGCCGATCTTGCAGGTGTTGCCTGTGTTCCTCCTCTCCTTCCTCCTCCTCCTATTCAGAACTTCTTCTGGACACAAAGTCAGACATGATTGCCACTGCTAGTAGTACTACTAGTACAGCATACAAAAAGTTGGTACTACTACTACTATTCAATGGTTTATCACCAGTAGCAGTTCCAAGGAAAACAGCCAGATATTTGCATAACAGGAGCATTACAAAATACATGCGCGAATTTAATTTTATGTATGCGGGGATAAACAAAGCACCAAAGTATCTGTTTGTGTGATGTAGTACTAGTACTACTAGTAGTACTACTAGTACTACAACAAGAAGAACCTTTTTGACAGTATCATCCTCAATACTATGATTCTTTGCAGCAGCAAGAATTACTACTACTAGTAGTAGTACTACTACTAGTAGTAGTAGTACTAGTAGTACTACTACTAGTAGTAGTAGTACTAGTAGTACTACTACTACGTCACACAAACGGGTTCTATGGTACGTTGTTTTTCCTGGGTACATAAAATAATATTTGCGCGTGTATTTTGTGATGCTCGTATGCAAATATCTGGCCGTTTTCCTTGGAACATGTTCTCGAACCACTCATTTCTCATGCGGAGTTCGATGCCCTTTCTCATGCTTCGTTGAAATCAATTCTTTTTCATAAAAAAATATTAGTATCGTATTCTGAGACGAATTGTCTCAACCATTCAAAAAGTACCATGTGTTGTCACGAAAATATTATTGCTACTTCATCAATTCATCTGGTCGGTTTCAAATTCCTCTTTCCTGATGCCAACTCTTTGGCGCCCAGCGACAATTTCTCTATTTCTATCGACGACAAATTTATTTCACAATGACGAAGCTAGTATTCTACTGTACTAGTAGTACTAGTACTACTAGTACTATGTTTCCTCCAATGGATGATCATGTTGCTGTTGCACAAARCTGGTGGTTTTCATGTATTTTTAGAGAATCATGTTGTGTGGTGTTCTACTTTTTTTGTTCTTTGGCCATCCCCATCACCATTGTTTCATGGGAATCACCGTCCTGTAACGGTACCTACTGGTACGTACCGGTAGTACGCAATCACTTGTTCAGGAATTTTACCTCGGAGTGCTTGTTACGAGGAGAACAGAAAATTGTTAGAAATGGGGGGGCACTAAAAAAGAATAATCGCTGCACCCCAGAATTTCTACACCAACGTGTTGCAGCATGGATCCATCGACCGGGGTGTCAACGCTTGTTTTGTACTACAGTAGTACTGAAGCCTAGTCCTACCGTACCGTACTGCGAAAGTTCTTATTGCTTTCTCCTGCCTTGTCACTGCACACTGACCTGCAYTGAGGAAAGAACGAATAGAATTATGAAATAATGCTCGTACGGTACTGTCGTCGAATATTTGATGCGAATACGATCGATCTCCGCCTCGACGCATCTCTCGTTCTCCTCTTCGGGATTGATTCCTTCGTTCAATCGGTTGTCAACGCTACACAAACTCTAGACGGTTCGAAAGGGCTTGTCGCGYGGAGCAATACGACCTAATCTAACATTAGAGAACATCACAATCTACCGACATCGAACAACAGCGAAGCCATAGCTCAGCGTCTGGAGCTACTTGAGAATTGCATCGAAGAGCAGAATACTGTTGTTGCTGTCGAATCGTAGCCTTGTTCTACAACCCAGCATTTCGGTCAAGGTGGAGGAGTTGACACCACAAAGTCACATCAGCAAGCGAAGACTARTCTTCCTTTTCTTTGCACGAAAACGTAGTCAAACTCGCGGCATTCAATTTCATAGCAACGCAGAAAGCTTCTCAGCAATAGAAAACAAGCACCCATAGACATGACAAACATAAACCTCGTTTCGCAATCTAGGGCCACGGGGGATCAAGGGAGTTCCAGAAGAAACAATGCGATGGATCCTCAAAATCGATCCAGTATCACCATGTTGGTGCTTGGCGATGGTGCGTATTCTGTTCTATGGGAAGTTGTGTTGTATTGCTCCGTCGTTCTATTGGGAAGAGAAAAGGAATGAATTCCATCATYCTTGTTGGCACAACGTAAATTTTGGTTTCTATTGCTGCGTTTCCGTTTGGTGAACGAACGCCGTTGATTTGGTCTTTGGCAATCCGTCTTCATCGTTTCCATCTTCAACAAACTCTTCGACTTACCACGTGTATTCCGTTTTGTTCTGTGTGCGACTTTCTTTGATCGTTCAAAAATGCAGAGGGTGTAGGCAAGTCMTCTCTCATTTCCACCTTTGTATCGAGGCATTTCTCGGAAGTGGTCCCCGGAATCATGACACGCGTACGATTGCCACCCGATCCAGAAAATTCATGCATCACGACGATCGTGGATTCGCAGAGAGGAGATGCGGCCTTGATATCGGCAGTAGCCAATATGGCTACGRCAGGTGCAACCGGGACGGCATCGGTGGCATCGCCCACAACGACCGCTGCGTCGGCAATCGATGGCGGCAATGGTGTAGATGGTGGCGAACGAGGSGCACTGGACAATCTCACYATTGCAAGCAGCCCGTCCGCGAGCATGTCGATGGCTACAACACCGGGATCGGCTTTTCTTCGTCACAACAACTTTAACAGCAACACATCGTTGTCATCCTTGCGTTCGTTTTCGGCCTCGGCTCGCTCCGGTGGTATGGGTGGAATCGAGAATGTGGATTCTATCATTTTGATTTACGATCTGGATCGCGACGAAACTTTTTTCCGGCTGGAGAATCACTGGTTGCCTCTGATCGAACGATGTTACAATGGCGAGGTAAGTTTCTTTTCCATGTTTGAAGTCCAACGTCTGTACTTTGAGACTTTTGAGAATTAGCTTCTAACGATTGCATGGATTCGGATGATCTGCTCGCCAATGAACTAAACTGCGTTGCCTTAAGTTACCGGTTATTGTTGCCGGAAACAAGATGGATCTCTTCCTGCCTTCGAGTGCGGCGGGTGTCACAGACGAACAAGTTCTGGCCAGATCTCGACAGCAGATTGTCTCTCTAATGCAGCGATTTCGRTTCATCCGACAATGCATCAAGTGCAGTGCAAAAAATCTTTTGAGAGTCGATGAGGTTTTCCTCAAGGCGCAGCAAGCAGTATTGTATCCCTTTACACCATTGTACGACCTGGATRTTGGCAAGCTATCGGAAGATTGTCAGCGCGCTTTTACGAGAATTTTCCGGATGTACGACCGGGACCACGATGGTTTGTTGAGCCATTCCGAGTTGGATAGATTCCAACACGAAACTTTTCATGTTCCAGTATACGAAAGGGATTTGACGGGCTGGAAGAAAGTGGTCAGCCGCAACAACCCTAACGAGGAAGTAGTTCGCGACGGAAAATTTACCGTCGCTGGATTCTTAGCCATATTCGATGTCTTCATAAGTCAAAACCGACTTGATGTGCCATGGCAAGCACTACGAACCTTTGGATATGACGACAATCTGAAGCTGCAGGTGCCAGAACGTGTATACATTGGTCCAGAAGATGCTTCGTGGAGTCTCACGCAGTCTGCAAGAAGGTTTCTCTCGGATCTATTCCATCAGTTCGATTCGGACCACGACGGCGTTCTCTCGTTGGATGATATGGATGCGATATTTTCTATCATTCCCGAACCTTCGTTACCTCCATGGCATCCTATTCGATCGAGAAAGTTATTCGGAGATTCGTTTAGTCTACCCATGATGCCGTACTCTGAATTACCTACGTCAGAAAGCACGGAAAGCACATCGTCACATYTTGGTATTTCTCAATGTCTTTCTACGAGTGGGATAACTATAATCAGCAACGAAACGTTTCCATCCGTGGACATCTCGTCCATTGACAGGGCGACCCTTGTTTCAACACCGCTAACTTTTTTGGATTKKATGGGTCTATGGCATGCAATTTCCGTTATTTCTCCCGAACAAACCCGTGCGGAACTTTTTCGACTCGGTCATAACGAAGATCTGAAAACAAATAGACGAGGGCGCGGAAGGAGAAAGTCTGTTTCACCACTTCGTGATTCAACTCCAGATTCCAYRCTGCCATCTCGGGAATTACGACTGTTACTCCTTGGCAGCCCTAGTAGTGGAAAAACGGCTCTCATCAACTCTCTGTGTGGATGCAGAACSAAAGACCCACTGAAAACGAGCAAGACCGCGACTCCTGAAACTACAAATACCTTTGTTCGCATGAAGAGAAGGAAATACAAAAAATCCAGTAAGGGAGAGGGATACGAAACGATTGTTGTCCATTTGATTATTACTGAGGTTCCCGAAGTCGAGGCGGAAAATAGGGCAATGCAGCAGAAACAGGTATTTAAGATGTTGTCTGATGGAGGCTGTGATCTAGTTGTTTTAGCTTTTGATTCGACGAAYAGCGCGAGCTTGGCATATGCAAAACACCTKGAAAGCTCTCTGTTAACGGAGGATCTCGCCAGAGTGTACGTTGCCACGAAGTCGGATCAGTGCGGACCTGCAGAGGATCACGACGACCCGGAAGACGACGAGTGGCAACCGAAAACGGTGATTGACGAGGCAGCGATGCACTGCCGAGAGCTTGACATAGAACCCCCTCTGATTACCTCGGCTACGGAGAGCATGCTTGGTGCTGCCGACGAATCGGGCGAACAAAATCGTTCGCAAGCGCTCGGWCACCTTGCTCGCTGCTCCTTGAAGGAGCAAGGGATCGACCCGTTGCGAGCTAAGCCGCACGAAGAACAAAAGCGCCGAGAAGCATCGAAACGAAGAAACAGAAAAATGATATGGTTTGGTGTAGGCGTCGGTGTGGCTGCAGCTGTTGTTGGTTATTTGTGGACCGGTGCATCCGGTGGCAAGGGGACACCATCTACDAACACAGATGGAGATCGCAAGGGAGGTGGGACTTTTGGATGGTTTCGCAGCTTTTTTGCCAGAGCAGAGTCTGCAAGTTGACTGCAYTGTTTAATYAGAGAGTTTGATGGACGATCGATTTTACCATTCGATGGCTTTTAAATTTTTGATGCTGCTGCGGATGTTCAGGCGCAGACAATGATATCTTTAAATACTAAAAAGGAAAATTGAAATTAGTATCTGMATGATAAGSGCAATGARTAGGACTGTTTAGTGATTAGTAGGAAAAATTGTTTTATTCGTTAAAATAAATAATTAGCAAGCCACGGCTCTCGGCGAGGAGTAAATACACGAAGAAGCAGTCTTGGTCAACGAAGGGTCGCCACTGCGTTGTTTCAAATCATGACTGACGCTGCTRCTGCTAAGCCCGCAGCATCGCTGCATGAGCAAAGCACTCGACCAGTTGTTTAAGCCTTCCTCACAAGACGAAACAATTCGTAAAAGCGCCTCGCTGATATAGCAAATGGCAACATCCACCAAACCGTCAGCGTTGATGTCCAGTTTCTCTTTCAGCACGTTCATGGACTCCATACCTGAGGAATCGATGTYGAGACTCTCCAAGGCATTTCGAAGTGCTGCAAATGCGACGTGAGACGGTCGGTGCAAGCAACTGAGTTCGTAATCGCTCGCGGTATCTTTGATTTGGCAATGGATCAATTCGATGATTCGTTCCTCCGTTGTACCGCAACTGGCGGCAGTTTCGCAACTGTAGGCGGAACAGGACGAATCGTCGTTGCTCTCTGCCTCACCCATGGAACCGCCGCAGCTTTGGTCGTTTTCGTGGTYGGGACACAAGCCGAGATGCTTCACAAATTCGTGTGCAAAGGCCATGGGTGTCGGTGGGGTGACGCACCAATCYAGGGCCATCAAAATCTCGAGTTCCATGCGTTCGATGTCGGCTTTASARTATTTTCCCCGGGAAAGCTTCGCCATGGACGACGGTTCTAGTGCCTGGCTTTCCAGGACCTTGGTCATCAGATACAGTGAGGCCATGACTACCAATTGGTAGTCGTTGCGATCGAAGAGTATCCTTGAACCTTGGGGCGTGGCAACGAACCGATCGACGCAAGACATGACTGACGCCATCGTGTAGCGATCGTAGTTGCAAAAGTTGCACAGGCTGACGCACCACTTGGCCATGATGCTCCTGCACGCGGGATCCACCGGGATSCTTCCGCTGTGGTCCGAAACAGCAGGGTTGCTGTCGGGACACGGCGCGACGGGATGGGACCGGGCGAAGTAATCGTGTTGCGCATAAGTCGTTCTTTCTTTGTGCAGCATGACCTCGAGCACGGTGGAAGGCGTTTCCCAGGACGTCATGTCCGCGTCGATGTCCATTTCGTGTCTCAGCTCTGTCTGGTTGGTATCAGATCTTGGACCGAKCATTGTGCCGGGCTTTCCAATTTGCGTTTGGCGGTGGCGTTTGAATGATATGAGTTATGAAAGCTCGCGAGAACCGTATTTTGTTTGTGTAGAGGTATCAATGCTGCATCCGTCCAAGAGACGGTTTCGAGACACAGGTTTTATTGTCGTAAACTATAATTTGGAGCAAACCRGGTCAGGAGCCGCTTGTTGGCGATTATGACTCTGGTTTGTATCTGCGATGAACAACAAAATATTATGCGGCAACGAAGATACCCATTCCTGAACTATGCCAGAGTAATCTAATTTTCAAGTGTACCTCAACGACTGGGGTTCCGAATACAGTGTTACTASTGCTGAAAAAATGGAAGCGGAAAAGTCCCAGTTACAAAGCACAAAAGTCTCAAGATATGTTGCCCACGGTGCCTCTCTATTTCCCTGGAGATAATTTTTCGATTCGCGAGAAAGGACATAAGTTTTTGAGAGCTGTTGGTCACTTCCATTACCAAAACCASTCGGCACAGTTAMTACGTACTTCTACGTTTTTCTATTGGCACATGTGATACTCTATGTACTCTTCAGAATTCAAATTGGTCATTATGGGWGGTGGGAGGGTTATAAGTATCATAGTACTATTCGGCGACAGTAGAATTAGATATTCCAAAACTCAACGCTCTACTTATCAATTCMTGTAGATTTATCTCACCCTRCCGAAAATAGGWAAGCGAACTGTCACGTATTTCTGCAAGGTCGACAAAAGGTTCCGCCTTCCAGGTTTTCCGCCTCYATTSTCGCTTGTTGAATGAGTCGAGGTAGATCCAACTMGAGGAACCGATTCAACATCCGTTCGTCCGTCAACCACCATTCTTACGTGATCATTTTWGTATGTAATCGATCCCCAAGAAGGAAAGTACTTCGTAATGCAGCTTTGTAATTAAATAAAACCTATACCGTAGGTCAATGGACAGACGCCTATTTGGATTCATKGTCTTCCACTAGGTGTTCGAAAACTACCCGCAGTGCAGCGGGAAATGCTAGAACATGCGTCAACGAGAAGTCTCCGACGAAGAAATTCGGCGACCGGCTTTCCGTTCGCATGTGACGTTGCGTCATCGCGCGATCAACACATCCGTTCGCACKCGAGCATCGGTATATCCGTACGGTAGCTAGGGCGCGTCACTCGCACTCGCACGTGCGCACCGTGGTTCGATCGTTCCAATCACGAGTTTGGGTCCCTCGCGCCGCTCGACTTATTCGAACAAAWGCACCGACCTCCGCGAGCGGCGGCCCACGATCGGCGATGCCGGGATGGTGATGCTACCAAGGATGGTGGCCGGTTTCCGTAGCAAGTAAGTCGGGCAGACTTTCCCGTAGTTGAGTGTCGTGGGCACTGCGGAGTATCGACGACGAATGGTTTTACGCACCCAAACACACGGACAATCGCATCGTACTGTACCGGTAGAACGGAACGGGTTTGGGTCGATTCACCCGCCCAGCCCGCCCCACACCATCATCATCATCATCATCATCATCACCCCTCGCGGTACGATTCGTAGGAACGAAAATTGTTGCGATGCACATGATACTGCCGGACGGTTTGACCCCTATTAGAAATCGGAGGCCAGAAAGAGAGTGAAGAAAACAAAGTACCAGAGCAAGCGATTTTCCAGAGCCCCGGAGCCCCGAAACAAAAACGTCGTTCTGTTCGTGTCTCTCTCCAACAACAGCGGCGCACAGAGAGACGSAGCGAACGAGAGGCCCGGCAGTGYGATCCGTTTTCCTTYTGGGGTACTCCGCATTTCTGGAAACTCGAATTGGATTCATTGGTGAACGAAATCTTTCTTTCGGTGAACATGGGAATCAACGAACAMAAACGAGACGAAGAAAGCCCTTTGTGGAGTAGTCCACGGTCCGACCCCCAGAAGGAATCTCCCTGGCTGAAAGACCAGCGGCGGGCTCCTCGATCCGTGCGCACCCCCCCTTCCTACAACAGCAACAGCAGCATCCATTCCCATTCCCATCGCGGAAAGAGAAGGCTTCCGAAACCCAATTTTAGTGGAAGCAACAAGAGCAAGAGCCACAACCCTTTTGACTCGCCCCTGTCGCCGTCGGTCGGAAACAGATCGCCKCCCATTGCTGCCCCCGTCAGCCGCAACCCGAGTCCGAGCGAGGGTGACCACCGAACGGCGATGAACGCCGGAAGGACGAATCCGTTCGATTCTCCWACGCCGGTGCGGAAATCCGTCGGAGCCAGAAACAATCCGTTTGACGAATCCCCCGCATCCTCCGTGGGACAACCCCCGAAAAGGCACGGYCATCCCCGTTCCGCTGCGAAGCAAGYGTTGTACAACCCGTTCGATCCCGSTACGGGCAGCGGCGCGGGCGGCGTCGATTCACCCTATTATCCCCAGGTGAAGGTGACGGTGCACACGCAACAAGACGTTCGCCCGACCAAACAACAAGGGTCGGTGGCCGTGGACAGCCTAGATCAAATAYTAGACGTCACYGAGGAAACAACAACGGCGGACGAGAGCGAGGATGCCGGAGAACGCTTGGAGGAAAACGGCAGAGAAGAATGGTCGGACGAACCTTTTCCGCACCACAGGCAGCTCTCGGAAGCACACCGGGGATATCCTTCGGAGTTGCAGCAGCAAGAGCAGATGTTCTACCCCCAAACTCCCCCGCCATTAACGCCSACTCCCTCCAACTTTTCGTCAGCTCTGTCTCGCAACGGCTACTCGGAAGATGGCACCCACACCACTGCYACTCCTTCGGAGAAGGCACTGATGGCGGCAGAAACCCTGAAAAAAAGTTTTCAGCAGAGGAGACGGCAAAAGAARGAGGGAGCGAGAGGGATTTTGCCCACCACGATAGACGAACAGCACGAGGAACGGGTGCCACGRYCGAACCAGAAGGATTCACACGACAAAACACCGGTTTCGGAGGACGGTCGTCCGGATGGACTCGKAAAAGGAAAGGCYTTGGCGGGGGTTGCAGCAAAACGAAGGGCCGAAGCGGATGCAAAGCAGTCAACCGCACCTCCCCCGTTTGTCGGGGACGCAGATCCAACCAAGCGCATCCCACAGACCGAGTCGCAGCCAACCCGGAATCCRACYACGGGAGACCAAAATKTGGGGGCTTCCCCCGTGCAGGYTRCAGGTTCTCAACAACAASAAGAACAACAGCCACGTTCGAACCAGCGAGCGGAGCAAGCCGCCGGCACCACCAGCGCAAATGGAAACTACACGTTGCACGACTTGTGCGACGAAGCAGTGGGCACGGAYGACCTCGCCTGGCACAATGCGCTCTATCTTCTTACCATCCGGCCGGACYTGGGCGGTCAGATCGAACCCGAGTGCAAGATGACGCCTCTCCACGTGGCTTGTTTGGCACAGACAGCACCACCGATCTGGATAACGAGGGGTTTGTTGTATGCGTCTCCGGGGACCTGCCGGCAACCAGACACGGGAGGACGACTGCCMCTTCACTTGTTGGTGGCCACTACGGCAGACCTCGACACCRTTCGATTGCTGGTAGAAGAATACCCGCCCAGTGTTGCCCACAGGGACGATCGTGGGTTTACTCCCCTTCAGTTGCTCCTGAAACGAAACGACTTTGATGGATTGCTGACRCTAGAACACCTGCGGCTTTTGCTGGGGCAAGATGTCGAAGGAATACGAAGGAAACCCAAGAACCGTCTTTTGTTTCGGAGGGGAGATCATTTGAAGAGCGATTTRCGCCTGCAGGATCTGGAGTGGCTAGCGGAAGAACGGCACCAAAGACACGAGTCGACGTTTCGTGAGTATCCGGACGACGTGCGGCGAGCCTTGACCAAGCTTTCCCAATGGAAACGGCGACAAGCAAACAAACAAGTCGACAAGAACAACGGTGAAAGCAGCGGCCATTTTGCGGACGAAGAGTTTCATTTTCTGCAATCGAGAATGGCGGATTTCGTCAATCCGGCGTCCATTCCGACTCCTACCGGCCAACTKCTTCCATTGCATTTGCTGGTGCGTCGAAGCTTCCACTCGGATACTGGAACAYCAAGGCAGAACCTACACTCTATCAAACGAGCAGGAAAGGTGGATCTRTTGAGAGTTTTGATCGCTGCGTTCCCACAGGGATTGGTTGCAGTGGATGCAAATGGGAAGACACCCATCATGACCGCTATGCTGCAAAAAAATGCACCGCCCAGCGAAGAAGTCGTYGATCTATTGCTGGGTTTGAGGACCCCTGGAGTTGACGGGAGAAACGACACCAGGAGACCTGCATTGATACCTACCGCAGACACCCTTCAAACGCCGCTGCACGTAGCYGCAGAAGAATTTGTATCGAACTATTCTCTGTTGAGCACAGTTTGTGAGGCGTACCCAGATGCCAGAACTGTTCAGGATGCATGGGGACGAACACCTCTTCACTTGGCCTTTCAAAACTWCCGATCGGTTCCGATTGACGAAGCGACGCTGGAATTGTTGTTTGTCAAACCGGTTGCGAAAATCGAAGACAACGAAGGAAAAACGCCCCTCGACTTTTTACTGGAAAACCCAGCTTGCGTTATCCGGGAACCCTCCAAACTGCGCAAGGACGACAGACAGAACTCGGGAATGGTCTTTCAGGACTTTTTTGACGCCTCSGTAGAGCGGCCACGAAACCGATCGGAGGCCCGCGACTTTCTCGCCAGGTTCCAGAAGTTTCCGCCCTGGCTGAGACGCCAGGCATGCGCGGCCAGGTTYGTCCAAGATATTTTGGTCGAAGAAATTGCGTCACCGTTCACCACGTTTCGAATACTGGGGTCGGGAATTGTCTTGGCGTTGTTGTTGGTCGCCCTGCGCCGGATGTTGCACATGGATCCAGATTACACGCTCTTGATTTATTACCTGGCTTCGTATCACCTCKTAATGCAACTTATTCAGTGGGGAATAGCAATACACATGGGGGAATKTTTTCGATTGTGCCTTTCAAATATCTGGAGATGGTTTGACCTGGCAACAGTTGCTCTTTCGATTTCTTGCGCCTTGTATGTCTCTCGAGAAATTATTGACACCGACGACGGTATCGGTGTTTTCTTTCCGAGGTTGGGGGCTTCTGCGACGATAGCTTGYTGGTTGAGTCTTGTGGGATATTTTATGGAGTGGTCCTGCGGACTAGCTGTGTTCATAGGGTCGGCGACGCAACTACTTTCGGTATTGTTCTGGCCATTGTTTCTTGCTGCTATTGGATTCCTTGCAACGTCACAAGTTTTRTTCACCTTGGAAGACTGCTCCGATGGGGGAAACTGCAGTCTTTTGGAGTATTATACCTTGATTTACCGGACAATTCTTGGCCAGCCTGTTTTGACCGACTCAGACTACGACCTTTCACCCGKCACTTCGACGTTGCTTGTTATATTTTCGATTTTATGCATATGGTGGATACTCTCTATCATTGCTATGGTCGTAACAGAAGCAGGGCGACTGGATCGTCGACAACTTGCTTTGGCATGGTACTGGGAGCCGAAAGTGGCRCTCACGGTGATGACATCTGCTGCTACTACAAACAAGAACGAGAAAACCAGATATCATCCATCGCTTGTGGAAAACTACTGCGATTTGTCGGAAAAGTAYTGGCATATCTTTGAGTCGGCTCTTCGCGGGGAAARAAGCGACGTGCATTGGGATGCACTTTGCTTTCGGTCGACCACAATGCTTTTCTTGACGGGGTTCATGGCGCTGTTTTTGCTTCCGATWTGGTTTTTCTTGGGATTGGTKTCTTTGGGACTGTTGTGGCCACCGCAAATTCGTCGATGGGTCTTTTGTCCCCGCCCCGCAAGCAGCACAATATTTAACAGGGGAAGTCGTGCTTACGCACCCAACGAGGAGGATCCGACCAGGACGAAAGTCTCGCAGCTTCGCACCGACGTGATGCATTTCAAGGCCACTACCTATGATCAAAACGATCGAATYCAAAAAGATCTCGCAGTGATCAAAGACATTATCTTTCGAGCATCGATGGATGGAGAGGAAAGACCGGAGTAGAAAGAAGGTGAAGAGGGCGTGTCGAGCATCGATCTTCGCAAGAGGTTATCATGAACGCACACCTTTTTTCTTCATAAATAATACTGTAAATGTGATTTAAAAKAAATCACGTAATGGAATAGGGAACCCAAGTTACCTAAATTTTTCTTTTGTTGCTGAGCTATATCGTACTACTTAAATGCAGCTTAGTTTTGCCTAATGATTACAGCTCTGCCTTTTCATCACGCCGACCGAAAGATACATCTAGTTGCACTCATTCGGCTTCTTTGGCGTCGTCTTCCTCCTTGACGCTTTYCTTGGTGACGCAAAACTTTGCGGTGCAAACATGGTACAGAGAAGAAAACAAGGCAAGGGAAGCCCCCGCGAGTTCGAAGATGTATTCCGACCTCTCTGAAAAGAYGCCATTGTCAACCGTGTCATCTTCCGGTGGCGCGTTTTTCAGATTGAGGGACGCAATGACAATGTATACAATCGACCAAATGGCAGTCACCGCCGAAAAGAAATAAATGACCACGATGGGGAAGCAGCACACGGAGTAGAGCAAAAACATGGCCGGGACAACGGCATTCAGGGCGTAAAAGATAATCCACTGCAGAGCATCGGGGTCGTTCGCATTAGCGGCTGCGCCSYATGCAAAGAGGCCGATAAAACCAAGGCTAARCACCCAAAGGGCGATGGTCGAGCCCGAACAAGCAACGCGGGAGCGTGAAGAGGACTCCTTCTCCACGGCATCGTCGTTCTTGTCCTCGAGCGACACCCCTTGAAAGGGATCGACCCCGGTGCCCGCTGTTCCAGAGCTCTCGCCATTGTCTTCAAGCCATTCTGGTGTTGCAGAGGTGTTCATCGTGATGATCGTTTTGGGCTTTCAAKAATCTTCTACTACACGGGGTGCTATGATCGAAAGGACTCGCGGGAGGAGGTATTTTGTATTTTTTATTTTGAGTTGTCGAGAATCTTCCGCAGAACATCAATTCCCACCGTTGAAGGAGTGATAAAACGTACG